GTGCTTATAATATCAAGGAACCCAGTATTCGGAATTCGCGCGAGGCTCTGCAGTCGACATTGTAACCCTGACCTGAAGATAGTAATCGCGACTATCGCTGGGAGCAGGACCTAACCATAGTCCTTGTCCTTGGGGCCGCTTGAGCCCTCGATCCTCCAAGCTTGGGGGAGCTTTATCTTGCGTGGCAGGCGAAGTATCGGGTTTACCCGCAGAAGTTCAGGACCGTGTGGGTCTTGGGTTTGAAGGGCAAACGGCCCTCTGGCAGTGGCAGGGTTCCGGGTTTTTGGAGTTGCAGAACCTTCCCTGAGCCACAGGAGCCTCAAACTTTCGAGTTTCGTGCTTCTGCAGCTTCGGGTTGAGGGCCTCGTGGGTGAAGTTGCCCTGCAGTTGGGTCAAGGCTTGGGTTCTGCGAAGTTTCCGAGTGTTCCGCTCCCAAAGTTTCCAGCGGTTTGAGCTTGAAGATCCAGGGTTTACCTGCAAGCGATGACAATGCAAGTGAAAGCTGCAAGGCCGCATCGCAGAGGCTCTCGTGCCTGAGAAGCCCCTGTTCTTTGGCTCCACTTTGAGAGGCATGTAATTGTCGACCAATCCTTCCTGTTCCTAAGGGGCATGAACAGACAGAAGTGTAGGCCCTTTGGAACAAACAGAGAGGGAGCGAATCCGGCACAAAGCCTTACCCCCCCGAAGCCCCATTTCCAATGGGCTCCTCGCCTCCAGGCTCGGGGTCCCGACCCGAAAACCCCAGTCACATTGAGCCCAAGAATCCTAGGTCCAAAGGCCTATATACAGCAGAAGTCTCAAAAACCTGAGTCCCATGTCCTGAAGCCACAAACCCTTAAGCTCTAACCCTGAACGACATCTCCGAAGCCCGAAGTGACGAGGAGTGACCTGTGCGAGTTGCGACTCTCTTGCGAAAAGCTGCAGGCTACGTTCGCCCTTTTGGATCTGGGGTTTCAGGGCTTAGGCCCTGAAGTCCTCGAATTCGGCACTTCAGGTTCGAAGGCTCCGTGATTTCATTTTTCCTGCTCAGCAAGAAAGCCTAACTCCCTGACGAGGAGGAGGAGTCGCCATGTGCATGTTTGACTCCTTTCCATCTGGAAGGCGATGACCTCCTTTACCAACACCATCGAGGCAGGGACCGTTAAGCCATTTCAGCGCTTGTGCGAACATGGGCCCGAAGAACCCCTAGAGTCTAGAATCGTTGTGTTGTCGGTTTTGCACTTTGCTCTCTGGCGGCTCGTTCCTCGTCCCTCGCGGAGCGCAAGGGTCGCAGACTCATCTGACTTGGTCTTGTCACAGTCTTGTCCTTATCCTGAGCGTTATCAGTTATCCGTATGCAATCTCTTTGCCTAGACCTCTGCCTCAACCTTCACGTTTGTCTTCACCTTCACATTTGCCTTTGCCTTCGACTTGACTTTGATAGCGTCCTTTCCGGTTTTACCGTCACCTGCACCCTTACTTGCACATTCACTTTTACCCTACCTTATCTCAGGTAAAAGGGTGGTCTTGGATGTTACGTGCTATTGTGATATTCCAGCCCTGCTGCAGAACTTCATGTTTGCACTCTTGACTTGAGGGCTTTGGAAGTTTGTGCTGTCGGCTTTGCAGGCCTTCGTCCACAAGACATCGAGCTAAGATTCTTTGAGAGGTACATAGACATTATGTGATGGTATAGCAAAGATAGACGCACTCATGTATGTATGTATGCATGCCTGCAGTTATGAAAGTTAATGTAATGTGATGTCATGTAATATAATGTGGTGTAATGGGCTGTAACGTGGTGTAACGTATGCATGGGTGTACTCATGCAAACAGGTATGTATGAATGCGTGCATGTAGCATGCATGCATGTGTGTGTGTGTGTGTATGCTCGGAAGTAGGTAGGTGTGTAGGTATGTAGGTATTTAGGTGTGTAGGTATGTAGGCATGCATGCATGCATGCATGGATGGATGTATGTATGTATGTATGTATGCATGCATGTATGTATGTATGTATGTATGTATGTATGTAATGGTATGCAATGGTATGCAATGATATGTAATGTAATGTAATGTAATGTAATGTAATGTATGTAGGTGTGTATGTATGTAAGCGTTTATGTAACTGTGCATGTACGTATGTAAGTATGTAGGTACACAAGCCTGACTCCTGACCATCCAAAAAGTACTGGCAAGCTCACATGGACCAAGAAACGCAGGATGTGAACCCACAAGGAAGCATCACTTTGGTTTTTTTTTGAAAAGCCGAAGCTTGCAACCCTTGCACATGTCCTCGAAGAGAAGCGTTCGCCGGTCAGGCTGTGCCCGAACTTGCAGACCCGCTAAAGGAGCCGCTGGCAACCAGGGTTTAAAGTTTAGGACCCAATTCTAAAGCCGCAAAGCCTTACTCTAAAACTAAAACCCTAAGTGACTGAAGACCTCGTTAAATCCTGAAAGCTAGCCTAAAGCCTTGTCGGAAGATCCCAGTTCTAATTGCGACATCGGATCCAAAGCCCTTTACTACTCAAAAGCCCTCGAAGCTCCAGCCTAACACCACTAAACACATCGAAGCTCCGGGCCCTAGACTGTGGGTAAGCCCAACTCGCAGATGAATCCGAACCTGTGGTAGGGCTTCGAAGTGGGGCTCAGAGTTCCGAAGCCGTTGAAAAACAACAGTCGAAACAAGGATTCGGTTGCTAGGACTGGGCGTTCACCGATTCCGTCAGGGCGGTTGTGGCTTCCAGCTCTACACTCTACACAACACCCATTAGGGTTTTGGGCTTGGGCACCTCACCACGCACATGCCACAACTCGTGGAGACAGTCGCTTGAAGCCTACACACTCAAAAAAGCAGTGCGAAGCCATGACTCGACCAAGGGGATTTGCTTGTCCCTGGCATCAAACCTAAAGCTCAAAGACCTTGGGCCCTTAGTTTCAATCATTGCAGAGGCCTGCCCCGCTCGACTTGTGAAGCCCGAAAGCCGTCTTACGGCTGAGGGTTGGCCCAGAAAGCTTCCCGCCCATGCGTCCTTTGGCCATAAGCCTTAGACATGTCTGGCTCTCTCTAGCAGGAAGCTCAGGTGTCAGCCCCAGCTTTTCTTGGCCTGATATTCATGGGTTTTGCTGTGTCCGTTGTCCGAGTTTTGAGGTTTGAAGCCTTCTTCGAGACCATTCTCGGGAGGTAAGTTGACCTCCGCAAAATTGCCTACCTTCCTACGCTTCAAGCCTGTGGCTTTTGGGGGCGGGGTGTGGGGGCTCGCAGTGCTCAGCGCATGGATGGGTTTGGACGCACGGTCCCCGAAATGTGAAGCACCATACGGCAACCCCAAATACCTCAGGAATTAGCCTTTTCAAGTGTTTCTTGAAGATATTATTCAACGTCTAGGCAGAAGGGTCCCAAGCGACATTTTCAGGGTTGCGAGTCCTGGCAGCTGAACTTTGTGTTGAAAGGCGCTTCCATGTCTTGACAAGCAATCAACCTCATACCGTCTTCAAACCGCCACTTGGCCCAGAGCCAAATCCTGAACCTCAACCCTATAAGCCATGGAGCCTTGCTGCTGAGGTCTGAGGTTTCACGCTTTCTGGGTCTCACACCCAGCATTTTGAAGTGAGAGATGGCGGCAGGCCGTCAAGCCCACTGTAACTTAAGACTCAAAGGCAAAGGCAGGCACTGCGGGATGTTGTGAGGGTTACGGCTTGAGCCTTGGGAGTAGGATCTGCCACAACAATAACAATCAAAGCTAGATTGCCTCTGGACACGACCCGCCCAACGGGCTGTGAATTAGATCACTGCAGTTATATAGCTTGTTTGCGCCATTGATTTGGGACAGAGAACCCAGCAACCCTCAAGGAGCTGCAAGAAGCCGGTGCAGTACAGGCTGACAAGATAGTCAGATGCCCCCTCGCACTCAAGCACGAAAGGGACCACCGTCTCCACCCCTCCAACCTTGCACAAGGAAATTTAACGACAAAAAAATACGCATGTTTCCAGCCCCTGCTGCTGCTACTGCCACTCATACTGCTGCTGCTGGTGCTGCTGAACATGGTGATCTCATGGTGAGGATGGAGGACCAGGATCTGTACGATGATGCAGCCGAGCAGACTGGTCAGCATGATAGCAGCTGACCTTATAAGCGGGTTGAATGCCTGGCGCCGGATTGCGAAGAAAGTCGCAAGGGTTGTCGCTCTAGGCGAACCTGACAGCACGCGCTCCAGTTTTAAAAAGGAGGCGACCGGGAAACCCTTTGGTGCATGCGTCAACTTCCCTGAGCCTCCATTCCTGAAGAGCGGAACCTTGGGCCTCGAATCAGGTTACCCCATGTATGCCTGAGCATGTCGCACTGTTGTTGGTACCACATTAACATGCTTGGGATCTTGAAAATTGCTCAATCAATTCTGTGCTCAGGTGCTGGTGATAGTCCTTTCTGTACTGACAAGGCAGACGAGTCCCCTAGGTTGCTGGGTTTACGTTTTTTTCTTGCTGATGGTAACGCCAGAACTAAGACGAAACGCTGGACCCTCAGCGTCGAACCCTGGAGAAAGGGCTTCGGCCCGGGCACCTGAGTAATCCCCTTCTGTGAGCTCTGAAATTTGGATGTCGAGGCCCAAAGAAGCGGTTAGCAAGGTGGATTCTGAGACCATGAAGAATGTCTGAAGGAAAGAAGCTCCAGGAACATCTGGGTCTTGAATGCCTCCTCTGTTCGTGCTCCTGCTGCGAAGAAGACGGCCTGCACCGAGATTGGAAGCTGCTGCTCCTCAGATAGGAACTCATAACAGAACAAGCAACATCGCACAAGTTTCTAAAGAGACTTTGCGTCGTAACCGAAGTCTATAGCTTTCAGACAATCAACGAGAGGATTGCGGCATTCCTGTCTAGCCAAGCTGGGACAAGCATTTGCCGTGAATAGCCGCCACCAGGCTGTAAGCTTAAGCAGCCTAGTGCAAAGTCCTCCTACTGCACCGCCGACCATAGCATGATAGCATGATGATCTGGTGAGAAGTTGTCGCCGCCGTGATTTGCCATGGCTGCGGACAGCCGCCTGTCCCTGAAAGATTTCGACTGTGCGAAACATGTCGCCTACTTCAAGCAGCACGCGAAGAGTCTGGCCGGCGGTTCAGTGCTTAGACGCCAGCTGTCTTTACCATCAGTGCAACTATCAAGTGTTGCTCTTGGTGGATGCGTTGCTACCGTGCTAGTGTCGTCATTGGAGTGTAGCTTATGATTCAGGTGATAATAACTGATGACATCATCTTTAGGATGACGAGCGACATGATGGCCAATGATATGTGTTCTGTCAGCAGTCCAGTGCTATGTCTTCGCTGCAGCTGCTGCTGCTGCCCCACTCTTGTTCACAACTGCAAGATGTTGGGGTTGCACCTTTGGTGCAGTGTGCCTTCTTTTACTGACTCATCGAGCTCTACTTGTTTAGGGTTTGGAGTGTAGAGCTGTATCGCCAAGAGGCCAGCACCCTGCTGTCTGAAGTGGAAGTGGCGGTGGCAGTGGCGGTGGTGGTCACTCCCCCTCCTCCTCCTACTCCTACCTTTACTCTTATTCCTACTCTTACTCCCTACTCCTCCTCCTACTGCAACTGCTACTGCTGCTAGTGGTACTCCTACTACTCCGACTACTCTGGCTGCTGCTCTTTTATTGCAAGCACGAGCACTACAGAGAATCACACTTGTCTTATGCGAGGCCGAGGACAACACGCCCTTAACATCTCCATCTCCAGGAGACTGGAGCTCTCTGTCTCCGATGAAGAACCAGGAACTCAGGAAGCATGTCAAACGAAGCGCCTCCAAGTTCTAGGAGCCTGAACTATTCAACCCAAGATCTCCGCCGAGTTCGTTGGTCCATTTTAGAGTGTCTTCCGTTTAGGGTTTGGGCTCTACGACTCCACAAGAGACTTCGCCATAGAAGTAGAGTGTTCAAGTCATCATCCAGGAAGCTGCCAGAACCATACAAGACCATGGACACCAACAGACTGCCCCGGCCTCGGTCTACCAGATTCGCAGGTTCCCCTATCTTCGAGTGCCAATACTAAGTATTTCTTTGAATACGAGGTGAGTGTAACGAGGGTGCCAACAATGGGATTGCATGCACCCAGGACGCTGCTTTATTTCAGCGTTTCTGGGCTGGACTTACTGGGGAAGCTGGACGAGCTGGATCGGGAGCAGACCATCGAGTGCCCGTGGCTGGCAATTCGCAGTTGGGTTCTTAACTGGCAATCCTCTTGGATTCTAGAATCAGAATCTCCAAGTCCTACCAGCAGGACACCAAGACAGTCCTATCGACGCTCCGTTTCTGTAATTTTTGTTGGCCTCAGAATCTTGCGACCGGTTCCTGGAATTGGTTTTGGGTCTATTCTTTGCCAGAAGGTAGAATGGCAGAATCGAGCGCAGTAAATGACCTCCTTTTGCGCGTCTCTACTTGTAAGTGCTCCTTCGGTGTGCATCGATGTGTTCGTGGTGGGAGCATACATTCCCTTTTTACATTGTCGCAGAAGGACTAGAAGGCGAGTTGCCAGCCAGGCGTGATGTTGGTCGGGGGTTCTTGGGAAACTGTGACTCCCAGGCCACCAGGCCCAAGGCCCAGAGTAAGTGGAGGGCCCTTCAGGGTTTAGGATCGTTTGATGCACGCACAGGTATATCTATTCCTACCAGTCCCCGCTGCCGGACCATGGCGGCTTCTACGGCTGCCCCCGCGTGGATTTCCAAAGTGCAGAGACGGACAAGTGCCGCCTGGTTTGAGATCTCCGGGGGCTGTTTCGGATTTCGCCATGTGGGTCCAAGCCGTTGGCATTTGAGGCATGTTCAGTGTTGAACCTTTCGTCACCCAATGCCGGAAAGGATCTACCGTGACCCACTTCCCGGCACTTCGGACAGAGGCCCTGCTTTAGAGTGGCCCGTGATGTTGAAACAACAGCCATGAGGTAACAACCAGCCACACATCGCCAACACCTACGTCGCACTTGTGATGCTGAGCCTGGGACTGTGAGGATAGCAAGGGCAGGGTGGTGCGGGCAGTGAAAGATGCACCGGCAGGGTTTCGGACTAAGATGGTCACTGCTTTGAGCTTGGGCGCGTGTGTTCGAAGTGTACATCGCTTGGTTTGCTGGTTTCGCTCATGTCGTTTACGCCTCTGCCTTTAGCACCATTGCCCTCGGACTAGCTGTGATCCCTGAGTTTCAAGTGCAACCACTATCGCAGACGACGGCACTCAGCTTCACAAACATTGTCTTGTCTTGGTACTGCGATGTTGGTTTTTGCTGCCCATTCTGAGCTATCCGCCCCCTTTTCCTCGAAGGCCTTCTTCAAGGCAAGGGAGAGTACGTGGCCAAAGCAGTTGCCCCTGGATCGATCGCGAATATTCTTCGAGGTTCAAGCCTGAATCCGGCAAACTAGATGCCCTACGAAAGCCAGAGACTCCCGCATGCGCCGCATGCAGACTCTGAGCACGGACCTTTTCGGGCTTCCTGCGCAGGGTTGTTTCGATTCAACAGTCTCTGTGTTCTGGGTTCACGGAGCTTTGAGGATCATTCTTGGCGATGATCTCCGCCGTGTGTCCCGGTAAATATCTGGCTCAGAAGGTGTTGAATTTGGGGTCCAGCGCAAGATTCGATGGTTTGCGTTTAGTGTTTTGGAGTACAGGGTTTGGGAGACCATTATTCAACTCTTGAGGTTCCTGCAAAACTGAGTGTGCTGGGTTCCCAACAGGGGGCGCTTCATGTGCCCGAAACCCTAGCAGCCCTAGCATGAGAAGGCCTGAAGCCCCGGGCCGTGAATCGTAAGACTGCTTAATCGTAATCGTAAGACTGCCTGTGAAGCAAAGGTCAACCGAAGTTCGATTGGCCATTCATTGCGGAAGTGGCAGCTGGATGACGGAAGTTTCTGCCACCCGGATTCGGACGAGAAAGCTTGCTGAGGACTTCGGAGTTTTTGTTAGCGCGTCCATGGGTTGGTTTCGCACCGGTGCAAAGAAGCGAGGGTGCTTTGGGGTGGGCTGTGCAAACAGCGTACGGAAGGGTGACATGCAGATCGGAGAGGTGTAGCCCCGAAGCTAAGACAACCCCAAGCTAGAACTCCCAAGAAGGTTGTGTACACTGCATTTCCAGCCTGGACAGCGAGAGTGACATCCGCTTCGTCTACTGCGCGGCCGCGATTTGCCACATGTGCAGAACTGGAAGTGGAGAGGTTTTGGTTCGTGATGACGTGCACGGGTCGAATGTTGTGGTCAGGACTCAGGACAGTTACTGATACTCACTCACTCTATCCGGTCTGCTCGGGTTGCCCGGGAGGTTTCCGAGGCGAGCTGAGGTGCACTGAAGTCTTAGAAGGTTTGGGGAGCTCAGGGGTTTCAACGGTCGCAGGAGGGTCGCATGATACGCCGCAACAGGCAGAATGCCCAAGCAGTTGCCCAAAGAATTCCCGAACTACTCGGCCAGGCCATGTCTTCATTGGCACCTACAACCTACTGCAGGGTACTTGTATGTCGGGGTAACCGCATGGCACGGCATGGCATTGTGGTCGTGACGATGAAGGGTTGGTGTGTACGCGTTCCGCCCATTCCGACCTACTACTTCCTGGACAGCGATTGAGCGAATAGACCCGAGAAGCAGAGTAACAAATCCTTGCGGAGGCCGATAATCTCGTTCCATCTCGCCATCTGCCCTTTTATTGCTGACTGCCCAGCCCTGAACCCCTCAAGCACCTGAGACCTCAAATCCCAGGCTATATCCTAGACCTCTGGCATGCCATTGACGTCGAGGCACAAACGCCGATCTTTGGAACAACGGTTTCGGTTCTGGATCTCAGGGTGAAGAGTTCCGAGATGTCGAAAACGGTTGTTGCAGAGCTGAGAGCTTCGTTTCAGAACTGGCTCTGCGGATCCAGATTTTTGCATCTGGGATTTTAGGCCTGTGGAGCATGTATCTAATCTGCAGTCAACCGATCCGGGATTTCGCGCATCCAAGACGGATTTCACGAGACCAGACCATCATAGGGCACAAGGATCCAGGATGAGCTTGGACCAAGGAGCTTGTATCTCAGAGTTCATATATACTTTCCGCTGCGACAGCTTGATCTGGCTTGCCAGACAGGCCAGGTGTCAAACAGCCCAAATTCCACCCCTGTCCAAGAGCCTCTATCGACGGAGGCGATGACCCGGTTTATCTACGCCTCACAGTCCTATGACGGTGCTTTTGGCATGGGCCCAGGAGCCGAATCGCATGGAGGCCTCTTGCGAGTGTGTAGATCTCGTCCCGGCCCTCCCACACCCGTTGTGCGGCGGCATCTAGGCGTAGCATCTCCAGGCTCTCGAAATGCACCTTCCCCTCTATGCCCGTGTTGTCCTTTCTGCTCATCTCAGCATGAGAGCCTACTAAAAGGAGTATTGTGCTCAAGTTTTTGAAGCTTGTTCCCCCGGCAAGCCTACACTGAATTGCATCGGTCTAGGACCCTTACTAGCACAGGTAGATAGCCTTAGATACTGTATGGGTTTGGGCGGGAAAACAGTAGGCTGCACCTACTGTGCGGTGGCAGCCTTGCGGATGCTGGGGCGCCTTGCAGACCTTCCCAGCAAGGACCTGTTTTTGGCGGTGTTGCCTCACGCTTCATTGCATGTCCGGCATTCGATCGTGGGATGTCAATGAATGTGCGGCCTGGGTTCGGGTTGAGGGCTCTGCACCTGTGGGAGAATATGATTCCAGAGAGACGGATCTTCACATTCGGCGTCCAGTCAGCATCACCTCCATCATCACCTCCAGCATCATCGCCTTCATCACCCCGTCATCACCCCTATCGCCATCGTCACCATCTTCTTCGTCTGCATCGACAGCCATCATTTTCAATAAGATTGGTTATGAGCTTCGTATTTATGTGCTGAGTGCACATTCCTCATGTCCATCACCCCCTCATCATCCCCACCACCCGGAGCATCAACATCGTCATCGTCATCATCCTCATCACCATGACCATCAACATTTCGCCATCGCCGTTGGCCTGGTTTTCGTCATCATGGCATTTGTGTTGTTACGCATCGCCGCCTGAAGCCGGCCCCACGACGCAAGCCCTCACCCTCCCCTATATCGATTTCATGTGAAGTCTGCGCCGTGGTTCGGATGATTTTGAGGCTTCAGGTTTATGCAAAGAGGGAGTGTGGTGCTCGGGCATCTTGGAGCAGGACCTCCTGGTGGACTGGCACCTCAGATGCTCCAGAGAAGTTGCAAGCATTTTTGTAGCCAGACGTCCAAGAAGAGGAAAGAGTCGGTTGGAGTCGAAAGGGGTTGAAGTCTCAAGGCAAAGCTTCGAGAGGCCACTATTGGAGACAATTTCTGGATCCTCCATACTTGGTACGAAATCTTCCAGAATACAAACGCCATGTACTTGGCAATCTCAAACTGCTCGCAAGGCTTAGGGTTCAGGATGAAGGATTTTCTGATGTTTCGATCCCTGATCTCCTGTTTTTCTGCTAGCACCCTCGGCACAAATCCCGAAGCCTCGAGGGATGAACAAACTGGACCCTGAAACTGGCAAGCAAGAATCTCCAAACCTACATCAGGCAAGGACATTCAACCCATGCGGTCTTTCCGATGCATGAAGAAATGACGCCAATCCCAAAGCACAAACATATACCTCAAGAAAGCAAACTCTGCCTGCAGGTTTGAGGGTGCGCAGGCCTTTTTCCCGAACATTTCTTTGGATCTAAGTAGGGGCTCGGGTTCTTCTACATCGCGGCGACAACCACCACCCGGCACTCACTTAAGCGGCCTTAGTTCCTGAATTTGCTAAAGGTTTAGGGTTTAGGGTTGATACTTGCCCCATGACACGTTGTCGTCGCACTCGTGCCTGTAATTCATAAAAGGGCACAAAAAAGTAATGACATGCATAATGGCGTAAGAATGGCAACGGCACTGATAGTATTGATTCATGATGATTTATTATTTTTTTAGACCCGACTCGACCAGTTTTTCCCAAGCTTGAGGTGTGTGCGAAGGCAGGTCTCTGGATTCCAAGGGCGCATTGAAAAGGATCCTGACAGCTGTTCGGCTGCAAGCATTGAAGGGGCTTCAACTTGTCTTCAGATCAATCCCTTTCAGCCAGGTCGTCCCGTGGTTTTGCCGTAGCATAGCCGCGGCGTAGCCTGCCTTCTTCAATCTTGTCTTCTCGACCTGTTTCGTGAACGGGGTAGCTTCGTGGAGTAGGGCATGCTGTAGTTTGAAAGGTCGTGAACGCCAACTTGCACATCGTTAAGGGAGATGCTGTGTTATTTTATCGGAGGCAGGGTTGTAAGCTGATCATAAGCTCAGTGCCCGTCAGACTTCAGGTATGTGTCGGAGAATTCACGAATTCTGCAGGAGCTTCTTTTGTTATTGCTGTTCCGTGGATTTGGCAATCCAATTTCGCCGTAAGCAAGCATGACCCGACACGACGAAACGCCGGGGATATGGAGGCGACAGGCTTTCTCTCCTCCTGACCACAAGGCTGCTACTCCTTCTGGGTGGGCGGCTCCATGCAACTCTTGGGCGCACACTTCCTCGAGCCAGACGACTGCCTGCAGCTTCCGGGCTGTGAAGCTAGGAGCCGTAAAAGGGTTGGGGTTAGGTTGTTGAGTCTGAGTTGCTATGGCTAGGTCTTTAGGGCTTGCCCTCTACGCATGCAAGCGGGTATGTCCGAATTGGCCACCACGAATCACCGTAAGATGAGAAGCGGTGCAAGTTGGTCATACGTGGCTTCACCCGTGGCCCTTTTCCGGAGGAGTGTATCGCGAATGCTCTGAGGTTTCTGAAACGATGCGAATCGCAGCGCTTCTTGACCCAGACATCTTGGGATGTTTCCTTCCGTTGTCCCTGCCTGGGTTCTTTTGCAGGGTGTTGACCCGGCGGTGGATTGGATTCGGGTTGACGATCGCTGTTACCTCTAACTCTAACCTTCAGTGCTGAAAGAAACGCAGCACCGCTTTCTCCAATGGTTTTCGGGATATAGGAAGATCAATTCTAGAATTTGGGCACCTGGGCAGCCCCGGTAAATGTGTGATACCTTCAGATGGTATGAGTATTTACCGAAACTTCATGTTGCTTTATGTCGTCAACAGCAGACCTTCACAGAAACTGTCCCCAACACTTTCAAGCACACACAGGCACATCGCTTGCTGGCGGGGAGCAGAAGTTTGTCCAAGCAGGTTTTTTTTTGCGATGCTTCTCAAGCAGACGTGTGGAGGAGCCTAAACCGTCTAAACCCCTAAAGCCGAATCTGTTCCAACAACCCCACCCTCCTGCTTGAGCCTAAAGCTTCTGGCAGCTCCGAGGCTTAGGTGGCTTTCAGAAGTTTCCGGATGCGCCCTTCCCGGAAGCATGGCTTTCTTGGGGAAGGTCTTAGGGTTCAAGGCATTTCGTGCCAGGGTGATGGATGTAGCGATATCAGGAGCCTGCACTAGAAGACGCCAGTTGGCCACCCTCCTCCAATTGTAAAAACACTGGAGGGAAACAACAGAGATGTGAGAATCACGAGCCCCTTACTTACAGATGTATATGTATTGCTGAAAATCCACAGTTCATGAGCTGCAAATCTTGATTAGCCTGTGTATGCCTTAAGGCCAGAAACTGAAGAAGTTGCCTGCCTCTATTAGCCACAAAACTGGACCGAGACCCGGGAACTCAAAACGACTTCGAGCTAGGAGATAAAACTCCAGACCCCCCCTTCTCATCTGCAAGCACTCCAGCTTGGATCCATGAAGTTCCCCGAACAGACAAGGTTTTCAGCACAGGCTTCGGAGTTTAGTTTGATCTGGGATTAGGAAGTCCATCCTGATGGGCTGCCACATTAATCCCTGCCTGCTACGCTTCCGAGCCCGGACTCCCCGAATTGTCGAGCCTTCATCTCACATAGTCATAGACCGTTCAACCCGAGCCGTTCACAAGTTCGTCACAGCTTCCTCGGCCGAAAAGCCGACTGTCTTTGCAAAGTGACAGCTGCTACAAATGCCATATTTCGCAGAATCCGGGAGAAAGCCCTGCAGTAAGGATCTCCTTCACTCGTACTTCTCGGTGTGCGGCCTCTCGCTGTGCCGCCTGCTCCTCGCGCTGCCTTCGAAATGAACCCAGAGACTACAAAACCTTTTTAGCTTGGCTTGGCCATTCAAACCATAGCAAGACTCCTGACGGTGCCAGATGAGAGATAGAGGATGGTTTATGGTTTAAGGTTTCGGGTTGACGCTGAAGTCGCTCGCATAGGCACAGGGCTTAAGGCGTCCCGGGAATCCCCGGGCTTTTTCAAAGCGTCTGGTTGAAGCAATCCTTACCTGCGCTCGCAACCTTGAGCCAAAAGAAATTACAGAAGTCTCTTTCATTCGCAGGCTTTTCCAAGCCTGATTGTTCCGTTGGGCGATACAGCCCCTAAACCAAGCCTGCTTGAAGGCGCGAATATGAGTGCTTCAGGCTAATTTAACCCAGACTTTGCTGGTCTTTACCGTTGCAGTGGCAGAGATACAAAACGACATGACTGAACATTCAAACGTATTGCCACTGTCTTGCTAGATGTGTGTATCCATAGCATTGTCGCCTCATCTGAGCTATCTACACTCATCGTGGAAGTGTGCCCAGGCTGCCTCCTTTGCATGCGCTGCTTGGGGTGTCCCAGCGTGCTGCCGACACAGTGGCACGGGCTGAGAAGAGGGGTAGCGGATGTGCACTGGTCTTGTTTCTTCGGGTCGCAGCTTGGACCCTTGCAGCCTTCACGCCTTCATCCTCTATTGCTAGGCTTGAGCCCTTAGATACGGAGCTTTAAACCTTTTAACACTTTCGGAGTCCTTACACCCCGAAACTTTGAGGTTCCCTGGACCCCAAGACCCGGAGTGAATTGAAGGGGCAAACCTCGCATCCCTCAGGCTCAAGCCCAACGCTCTCAAGATCTTAAATCGCTCAACAATTGAACCAACAGCCATTCCATTTATACATCCTCCTACTGCTGATACTGTTGATGGACGAAATCCTGCATCGATTTTCGGTTCCGGCCCATCCCTTCCAAACCCTGAATCTTAGTATTGATGCCAAGCCGCTCTTTAAAAGAGGCATGTCGGCGAATGGACGAAATCCTGCATCAGGTATCTGC